CCCTAATTTCAATAGAGAAGAAGGTTGGGTACTACCATCAGCTTGGGATCCTGTCATCAATAAAATTAAATCTAGGCCCAAACGAACCACTACTGCAAGACAAGATACAATTAGCTCCCTCTGCATAGATCGGACACAAAATTAATAATTCAAAAAACTGACGGTAGCCCGGGTTAACTATGACAATCAGACGTCTAACACCTCAATCTGTCCCGTGACCATGAACGCTGTAAAGGGTTCGAAACGTCGGGAATTAAAATTAAAAATAAACGCGATAAATCCGTAAAATTAGTTTCATTTATTACTCTATCTAGTAAAAAAAACCGCATCAAGATCCGTTCCGTATTTTTAAAGAAGACACTTTGTTTTATACCATGTAGTGATATATATAAGCCGCGGACCTTACAGATAAAGATTTGCCCATAGACAAATACCGTAGTCATAGACAAATCTAACGTAATAAATGTTTTTGTTAATTAATTGCATTACGTTGATCTGTAGTGAAAAAGTGTTGCTTCTAGAACAGAATATATCAACGTTACCATTTATAACACGATATCATTAGATTCGAGTAACTTTTCTTGCTCAATGAAGCGAACAATGAAACAGCTGTACGCATGCGTTTACGTCATCTACCGAGCTTCCCGTTGATCTTGACCCGGAAGTGGGTCATGATCGGGTCCCGCGCAGCCTCCGACCTTGGACCCGTCGCCGGGCATAAATCGAGGTTTCTATAAATAATCGTGGGAGATATAACTCAGCGCGTACGACCATTGGAAACTTAAAATATAGGTCTTCAAATAGTAATAGACATGGCTTCGTATCAAAGTTCTGATTTGAAGTCATTCTGTTTTGTGGAAGATTGCATTACACTTTCCACTACTTATAACTAATAGAAGTACAGAATGAGATATTTGTGGTATCACAACTTCGTTACATTCCTAATTGTTTTTTAAAAGCCTTTTCTTATGTACTCCTCAGAAATACCTTACAAAGGAATTCAGTTGCAGCTTTGAAGTAATGAATGTGAATCGAGAATAATACACACTTAATTGTATTTAATCCAACAACAAAATTGTACTTAATAACAAATAAAGAAGCGCAACTGTATCGTTTACAACATTCCCACGAAGGCTATCAAAAGAGCGGGGCTATCCCAGTTCAGAGCTACGCCAGCCACGCCTACGCCTTCGTGGAAACCGCCGTGTAATATCACATGATATCGAATAACTTCACTACGGCTGAAATACGGTGCCCTTGACTCGAGCCGCGTCGGCACACAAATCGATAGGCGGTTCGAATTAGGCGATATATCTCGATATCTGGGAGTGCTCCCACTATCTATTTAATTACTTGCTTTAATTTCATTCACCCAGCGCCACGGCGCTTGCAATAAATAAAGGTTGATGAGGCACAGTGTCCAAACAGCAACAAAATCAGCACTGTTGTTTTCATTAATTTAATTTTTACTAAAAATTATATATCTAATGGTATCTGGGGATGTTATAAATATTCCAGCTTCTTGTCTTCTTCGGTCCCTTATGAATGAGGATTCCCACATACCATTACACCACATTCAAATGCTCTACTGGATAAGGACCTGAGCTATAGGCGCCCTAATTGGTAGGTAGCTAGCTAGCATAGTAATGACTATAATCAGTAATTCGCCAAGATTTAACGAGGGGAGTTAAAAAATAAATCAACCCGAATGAAATGTGATCTTTGTTTTCTCAGATCATACTTAAATGAGAGAAAATATATTAAAGTTCCTTCAAGTTAAACTATATTATTTAATCTTATTTTTTTCAACTATAAATTTTTATTTTCTCCGATCCACCTGACATCATCCGAGACACCTGAGATAAACTGTAGTTTTAAATATGATCAAAAAGTGAAAAGCCAGGGTCTAAGCAGTTCATATATATATATATTTATCACACATTGATATTTTAGTGTTTGTCAAGCGAAGTTAATGGAGATATTACAATTTTATTGTGGTTTGTAAATAATTATTATATCTTCTATCTAAAATACATTTTTCATAACCCCTTGTTGAAATCCCGAAGGCAGTCTTGTGTACAATCTATAAAATAACTCGATAATTAGATCAGCTTTCTATGGCGGTGGAAAAACCGTTGGACTGTGAAGGAGTTTTATTTTTTTGCGTTCGCTTGGCTACAAGTACCATCGATTCTCACTTCCGAAGAGATATTTCACATTATCATTTATAAATAAATGCCAAATATTAACCACCACGGGTGAAGATAAATAAACTCAGTATAAATGCGAGTTAGTCCATTTACTACAGAAGTAATCCGTTTAAAATAATAAATATAACGTTTTTCTAAATTTGATCTTAATTGATTTATATTTATCTTTGAGAGGAGAAATTTTAATATAAACCGTAAATATTGGAGATACAAATATTAATTAAAGCCAAATATACTGCTACGTTTAATATTCGCCTGATAGCAGTTTATTAGTTTGAGAATATTAGTTTAGTAAATCGTTAGTAAATTCGAAGAAGTTGTTATTCTTCCACAAAATAAAGATGCCCTATATTGCTTGCTAAGAAATTTTGGTAATGAGATATATGACTGAATTGTTTAAAACTTGCTAAGTCATTCAAACTAAGATGTGTATAGATCCGAGATTCAAGAACTTAACAGCTTGAGCTATTGTATGAACAAAGTAATAAGTAGGCTTCACTTATACGCCACTAGGTAAAGGAATATTATGTCTTACAACAGTGTTTTGATAAGAGTATTTATATTTCTACCTTCTTAGCTCGATAAAACAAAGCTAATAAACCAATTGCATTATTTTCTACCATCTACGATTCATACTGAAAAATGAAATGACACCGTATATAGTTCGAGAAACTGCACAGCTTCCTTGATGTCTAACAAATATGCCAGGAACTGGAATGCGTCGAGAAAGCGTGTCGTGATGGCGGTCAACGAAACATATATACCTCAGCACGCCGTTTGAGACTAAAGTGGATTTACAGCGGTTGTCCTCCGCCAATTACGTCTGGTTACTACACCAGCAAATGTCAATTAAGGGGCGTAATCGCTTTTAAAGAGTAGAACAAATGGCATGATAAACTATAAGCGAGTTTTGCCACCGTGTAGATTTTCACCGACCGTAATTGTATTAAAGGGATCATGTTAACCGAAATTGTTTTCAATTTCTATTCAGATTATAATATTTAGTGCTGTTCTTTCATTGTACAAATTAGTACTCATCATAGTCAGTACAAAAGGAAGATTTCTAGAGATTTTTTTTAATAAATATATTAATAATATTTCAAATTGTAAGATGTTGTTTCAAATGTAAGTGCAAAAAGTATTAATAAATTTAAATAAGTAGGTACTATAAATTTTAGTAGAGTCGTTACTTTCACGGACTGTCACCAATAAATCATGATAATTATTCAAGATTTTTTTTATAATCCCTCACTAATCATGAACATTGTGAAACAACCCCAACGCAATTCAAACGGAGAATCGTCGAAATTAGTTAAAATTCAATGAAAAACTAAAGGCAGTTATCTAAAAAGTTTTTTTGTTATATGAATGAATTTTCGTAAGCTGTAAGCGTGTCACAAGTGGTTACACATTTGCACATATTTAACAAGATTATACAAGTTAACAAGATTATACAGCGAGGAAAAAAGAAGAAACGACACATTAAAAACAATTCAAACCACCGATTCCACTGTGTAAGATATAGATCACTACTCGTTGGGTGGTGATGGCGCAAAAAAGCGATATTCATGTCTATATTTAAATAATAAAAGTAGGTATAATCTTCCTACTTTCTTTAAAAAAAATAATTAATCGGATTTTCAATATTTTTATAATGTTAATTGAACTTAACCGTATAGGGTTACTTCATTAAAAACAATTAATTACAAGCTTCTACTTAGCTCAATAGGTCCCAAAATGTAAAACAGAGTAGGGGATCCTATCGTCATTTTCAAATGTTAGACAAAAATAAATAAATAATAAATATTATAGGACACATTTTTCACACAACGTTCTTTAGTGCCAAACTAAGCAAGGCTTGTACTATGGTACTTGATAACTGATAAATATACTTAAACACACTTTTATTTTGTAAATAAATACATATTATACCTATATTAACACCCAGACATTAGAAAGACACTATGTTCATCACACAATATTTTTCCAGTATTGGGGATCGAACCCACACCCTCGGGTGCAGAAGGCTAAGAATGTAAAAGAAATGAACGTACGTCCCGAAACAAGTGCAAAAATATTTGCTCCATTTAAAACCATATTAAATATTTTTTTTAATAACAAATGAATGTATTTCTCAAAAGTATAATAGTTTTTTTTTTAATTTTCAAAGACGACAGGGAATTAATTTGTACACCTTCTAGTCGCAATCGACGCCAATTAATTCTGAGTCTAACTTTCAAGTACCATTTCATCAGTCTATTTCATTTAAATTAAAGCTATTTAAAAAACTAACTCACTATATCGAAAACGTTCTAGTTTTGGATTTAAATTTTCAATATTATCCATTTATAAAATAGCCATTTATAAAAAAGAATCTTAACTTTTATCTGCATGTGAATCCATGTATTACATACATTATACCAGCTAATTTTATAAATTTTTTGAATGAATAAGAAATGTATCCAATAATATATATCCGTTTAAAGGAAATGTGAAATGTTTTATATTTTAAAACGATTTAAATTTATGACTGTATTATTCTGAAGTTTCACTTGTCTACAAAAGGAAGTTTATGATGAAGAAAATGTTTTTTTTTTCCTAAATTCATCTTAATTAATATAATTTATTATTCTTGCTTATACTATCTTTTAGCGATTAAATTTAAGGATTGAATAACTCTAATGCTTTTTTATAAGATCCACTTGCCACAGAACGAAAATTTATTATGAATAAATTTTTACTTTTCTCCTATATTCGTCTTATTTAATTTATTTTATTATTCTCGCTTACCTACTCCCGCGCGTGTTTCCCTCGAGTCGTCGACGATCAACAGGTGGGGTCGCCTCGCTCGCTCGAGCTCAAGCTCGGCTGCGGCAGTGCTCGGAACTCGCGGTACGCCCATCGCGGCCGACAGTCTGGGCGCGAATGATCCGCCCGCGCCCTACGTAGCTGCTCAGGTGGGAAACTGCTCCGCCGCTACGACATGCTACGACGCTCTACGACGTCACCGCTGTTACCTTCTGGCTCGACCGAAACCTTCAAATTTCGAATGCAAGCGTCGTATGATTTATTTTTATTTCTATAACGAATTTCATACTCGTAAATTAAAAAAAATTGATATTTAAAAAATTATTCCAGAATAATTTCAATGAATGTGCTAAAATTCTTTAAAAAACAAAAATAATTATTATCATCAATGCCATAAGCTTAATAAGCAACTATCTTTTTAGTTTTATAATGCCTCATTCGTTTATTTACATAGATTCTGGTAGAGGAAAGTTTTTTGAGTATACCAGAACTTTTCTTAATAAACTCCTAAATATTACACAGGAAATTTAGTGTTACTAATACATTAATTAGGATCGAAGGCTATAGTAGGAATAACTTTAATACCACAATTAGTTTATAGCCTCATTAATCCGCAGACCAAAAATCGAACAAAGGTTCAAACGCTTTATTACTTAATTGATGAAAACCATAACAACAAATCTGCAGCATCTATCCTAATATTAAGTTATTCTCGTATATCTTAGACGCACGAACGCTTTCTGCAAACAGTAAACAGTGAAGTGTCTAAATTTTTATTGATCTTATTGCAAACATTTATAATAAAATAATAATATTATCTCAAATTCTAACGTAATGAAAGAATCGATCATCTAACTAATCGATCTTTGTTGGTGTAAATTAGCAGTAGCAATTTATCATTCGTGTTTACGGCTGGGACAATGGCACTCTATGCGGCCTTCTTTCACTCGAATCTGCGTCTCGAAACATTGGAGTGTTGTTCAAAGGAAAGAAGGCGGGATTATCGTTTAGGAGGGCACTCTATTGACTTATAATCCCTCGTGGCATACGTAAAATTGATTGATCGAGCTTAAATCATATCTTATCTATACATATATACAACAATCACAACACCATAAGAACATTATGCGTGATGAAACACAAAATTAATAAGAAAATGTGTTGTAATGAACATAGCGTGTTTCTAGTGTCTTGGCGTTTATATATTTATTTAATAACAAGGGAGTAATATCATTAAGTTACGGAATACCCATAGTACAAGCTTAGTCCACTTTGGGACTAGATAACGTTATGTAAGAACATACACTGAAATATTTATTTAGTTATATAAAATTTTACTTGCCTCTGATTTTAAATGACTAGACCATCGAAATATCATGCCCTCTCAGAATAAATATACTTGCATTATATTTTCTTATTACACAACTACAACCCAAGAGCTGCGTATATTCTTGAAGCGATAACGATCAATAATTTTTAATATTTGTGACGAATAGACTAAAATTAATTAGAAAGCATTAATTTAATTAAAAATAAATTCAGGTTAGATTATTAAGCAATCAACCACCTCATGGTGGTAAGCAATAATGAGGTGCAGTTTCAAACGATAAAATTCTTTCTGGCAGCCGAGTTATCTTCAAAAGGTATACGGTTGCAACCCCATCATCGATTCTATAACTATTTATACAAGGCACTAGTCCGTTTGTACACTTTGTGCGAATGTAAATCTCGAGCGTCAAGTACTCAGTGGTACAAATGGTTCCACAAACTTACACATAAACGCGGTGTTAGAACGTTGCGAAGCGTTAAACACAGCACGTGTTTAAACATGTACCAATAAAGTTTTTATTCGAAATTTTAAGTCCTCCATTTGGTTGTGTCTTTCTATTTTTGTTACCGTCTAAATGTTGAAACTGAATGAGGTGTGCGAATATATCAAATGTGGTGTAGCTTGTGTGTAGGTATATAATTTTGGTCAATTCACAATAGGCTGGAGTAGCGAATTGCTCGTTCAGCGAAACACAGCAATGGGACTCCGCCGTCCGGCATAATATTTACTCAAAATATGCCGATAAGTATTAATTTATTCTTGTGGTTAAGACACTAGTTAAATAAATTTTGATTCACTATTTACTAGTTGCTTTAAGCACCACACATCAGACGCTTGGAATTTTTTTCACTCCTTTGCTTTATGCATTACGGACAAGGAGGATCCTCGAATCTCTTTTTTCGAACGCGGGAGAATACACTACATGTCAAGTGATGGAGAGGAAGGGTAGAATTAGTTGTGCATACTGTCGAAAACAAAATCATATAACTCAGTGTACAGGCGGTCAATTTTAATTCTATATACTCGAGCAACCTGAGCTCAATCCCGGCGCCGGCAACAATGAAATTAGTTCAATGCAATTTTAAGTACTGACTTATCACGTTCTCAGCGGTAAAGGGAAACATCGTGAGGAAACCTCCATAATATGTTGGTGTTGATGTTTTTCGGTAGTGGTAAAACATATTCGTTTGCGTCACTGACATGATAATATTACGTTTTGTCATTGGTTCATGTCGTTAAAAATACGTCTTTTATTAATCTTATTATAGATTTTGTTTTATGATTTTAAATTAACTTAAAATAAAATAAATACACAGTTATTCCAAAGTTATAAGTTTTCACTTCTGTCTGCAGCCCCATGCTGCCATTTTAATTATTTTTCACACAGATAGGCGGGCTATTTTCCGCCTGCGTTCGATATGTATAGGGATCGCCGCTAACGTGTGGATTACCAGCGTACCTATGAAAGGAAGTCCAACTTTGTTACTGCTTGGGACCTGGGCACAATAAACCACCCAAAATTCACAATACCTAACATTTAAAGTAAGTAAGAGTATTCTAAATATTAAATATATTGAAGAGATCTACTGCGCATTAAAATGAGGTACCGGTATTCATTGCTTTATTGTATTCTTTACTGTGCTTATGGCACTAAATTACTTTCTATACTGACGAGTAGCACAACATCACAGCATTTCGCAAACACACATACGGTTATGAAAATATTAACACCGAACGGGGCAGAAACCCACTTTGCAATCGCTTACGGTTAAAGCAACCGAGTATATAATCATCATGTGTATTAATACTGATGAAGTATCCACTTTTCGTTACTAATAATCCTTTCGTTAATATTACATAACATCTTCCCCTAGCGTTGAATGAAGCAAGGAGATATTGCAATGGCAAAATCAACATTCAACTTTCATAGCTTTTCAAATATCGATGCAGCTCGAGACTAACTCTGGATAAATTCAAAGAGAAACGTCAACATTGTATTAATATTGTTGACAAGACTTGGAATGTAAAAGTAGAATAGAACGCTACAGTTTTGCAATGCTAAATGCGCTGAAATGGAATAATTTTACATAACAGATGGCTGGGAACATATTGTAAGGCAAAGAAAACGAAAAAATATATTATAGGTGATAAAACAAATTCAAAAGGCAAAACCTCTACGCTTGTTCCAAATTACTTCTTTTTCTCGTTTGAAATTTACTTTTTCTTATAACATTTACATACATTGAATTTTTATATGTGCCAAAATGAAATACTTCAAACTCGATAGAAAATTTTAAATATTTTAATAGACCCATTTTATAGATAATAAAGTGTGAAACCGAATCTCATTGAGGTTTGGTTACACTCGGCTTGCTTAACTTAAGTTGTTGAAATCTGTTCGTTAATTTCTTTATGTATAGAGTAGGCAGTTCTGAAAAAAGTTTTAATTTTTACCTATGTATCAGATTTATTTATATATTTATACAAATTTTGAAGTGTATTTGTCATATTAAAATGTAATTGTTAAATTAGTAAATTTATAAGCAGCTTTGCCATTTATTTCATTTTGTCTAAAAGTTCCCGGGAAGACGATTCTCGTTGTAACAGGAAAATAATTAATAAACATATTCATGGTTCTTTACAATTACATGTCAAAATTATATTTATGTTACTGTTAAGACCATTTTTACGCATTCTAATCGAACTCTAAGCAATACTGTTATTATGATATTATTGTGTATAATTGTTACTGCTATTAAAATCAAAACAATGAGTACTGTGCAACTTGCCTACGTATAGGTACTGAATACAATAATAATATAAATGACTCGTGTCCATTCTGTGCGGCGTTTAATTGTTCCGCTTTACATTTATATAAGGGAATGTGGCAGATGATATAGAACGTATAAAAAGGAAAGAGATAGCAAGCAGTCTATAGAATTGCGATCTAATTACACCAATTGGTGTAATTTGAGTGCCTCAGTTTCGGTTTTCCAAAAACAACTACCAACGCTAAGATATAACGCTAAATATTTTATACCTTTCATGCCCACGGGATGAAATTTTGAAAAAGTAAACAGCGATGAAATTTGTATAATAATATATCATTAACAATATAATTTTTTTTTTATTTCAAAAAATGCCAAGTGCAGTTTTTTTTATTTAAAAAAATGCTCACATGGTTCACTGATGGCAAAGGAGGACCACTGCCACCTTATGTTGATATTAATATAACAATTATATTATAGGCATGAGATACACCGCACAGAATGCGAGAGGAACCTAAAAGCTTAGTTCACCGATTTAGCTTGGCCGTTGCAATATGCATTTTGAGTAATTTACGAGCTGGCGGTTCACCTGATGTTAAGTGATAAAGGTCGCAACGTTGCCCATTGATATTTTAATACCCGTGGGGTTGCAGATGCGTTGCTATCTATACAGATAAATAAACTTGGAGTGTCTGTTTGTAATATTAAAATAACCGCTTTTCACTAAATGCATATGGATGTATACACGGTACATATACCGATATAACAATTTTTGCCTGTCTGTCTGTCTGTTTGTTCCGGATAATCTCTGAAACAGCTGGACCGATTTGGACGGGACTTTCACTGACAGATAGGTGATAGATGAGGAGTAACTAAGGCTACTTTTATTTAGATTTTTTATTTTAAATTCCACGCGGACGAATTCGCGGTAACAGCTAGTCTTTTAATAAAGTGGGCCCCGGCTACCTCACTCACCAAACGAAATGCAGAAATATA